GAGGGGGGGGTCGGGGCCCGCTCCGCGGTGCCCCCCCAGGGCTTGGGTTCCCCCCGTGTCCCCGCGTCCCACGGGGCTGCTCCCCGCTGCTCGCGCGGGTGCCCAAGTGCCCGGTGTTTCCTCAGCGCGTCCCCTCGGATCCCCTCGGTGGGGCCCTCCCTCTGGCCCCTCAGGAGCTCCCTGCCCCCTGCTCTTCCTGAGGAGCTTCGGGTGCCTCCCGCAAAACGGAGCGTGACGGGGCGCTCCTGCCTCGCCGTGGTGCCCTCCGGGAAGGGGGGCCTTGGAAGAGCCTTAGGCTGAAGTGGTGCTGGGCCTGCAACCCTGTGTGAAGGCCGGTGCCGTCACCCTTTGGGCGCTGCAGTCTGTGTTTAGGACCAGGCTTCCTGCAGAGAGAGGCTTTTGGGAAGGAAAAGGCGCTGTTCTCATGTCTGTGCTTAGCTTAGGAAAAGTGAAGCAGGAATTCGTGTTCTGCGGTTGAGATGGGCTGTCCCGTACTTCATCTGAAACGTGGGACTAGTTAGTTTTGCTTTACCGTGTGTGAGGCAGTTAATTTTACTACCTGCTGCATTTGTGGCGCTGTTCTTAAGTTAATTTTTCTTATTTTCCTTTAAACTGTAAGTTAATAAGTAACTGCGGTGATGTCACCTGTTCTCTATGTTTCTGTTTAATAAAAGCCTGGCAACTAACCTTTATTCACAAGGCAAACTTTAACAAGAGACTTGAAACCTTTTTACGTGTAAGACAGAGCTGGGACATCGGGATCATACAGAGGGCTACTTTAGTTGTAAGGTTGAAAATTAGTGTTAGGTTTTATTTCTCCTAATTTTATAGGCAAATATTTTAAATGTGTGCAACACTGCAACAGTGAGGTTCTAAGCAGGGCTCTCCTGTCCACTTATTTTCTTGCTCTGATGGGAGGAAAAAAGAGACAATGAGGCTATGATAAAGGTGATGTGTCTAGATCCTGCTTTGTAGCTTTGTTATTGCTGTCTCAGACTCCAGCTAGTAAACATTTTTTATACTTAACTGCTGTGAGAATTGATATCTTCTGTTATTCTCCTTGCTGTCAAGTCTTCTAGCTATTGTAAGAGAGACAGCTGTGTTCTCTGGTACAAAAATTATTTCCTTGGTATTTTGGGTTGATTAAATAAACCTGACTTTTATTACTAATGTTGTGGTAATGCTGGCTGATAATGGTACACATCACTGGATAGCTATGCCTGATTGATACTCCCTTGCATGGGAGGGGTGAAAGTGAGACAACTCATGGGTTGAGATAAAGGTAAAGTTGAATAGGTAAAGCACAAGACACACACACAAGCAAAGCAAGGAATTAACTACTTTCCCATAGGCAAGCAGGTGTTCAGCCATCTTCAGGAGAGCAGGGCTCCATCATGTGTCATGGTTACTTGGGAAGACGAACGCCATCAATCCAAACACCCCCCTTCCTTCTTCTTCCCCAGCTTTATATGCTGAGCATGACATCATATGGTGTGGAATATCTCTTCAGCCAGCTTTGGTCAGCTGTCCCAGCTGTGTCCCCTTCCAGCTTCTGGTGCACCCCCAGCCTGCTCACTGGTGGGACAGGGTGAGGAGCAGAAAAGGCCTTGGTGCTGTGTGAGCACCGCTCAGCAGTAACTAAAATATCTCTGCATTAGCAACACTGTTTTCAGCAAAAAGCCAAAACACACCCCAGTACCAGCCACTCTGAAGAAAATTAGCTCCATGCCAGCCAAAACAACACAAGTGGACAAAGCTGGTTATTACTCTTCTGTAGATGTATAAAGCTGAGGTGAGATATGTGATGTCTTTTAAGCACAGTCACACAGTTACTAGTGGGGCAGAGACATAAAAGAATAGCTACTGGTTATGTTTAGTTTCTACAGTAACACTGTAGGCCACGTTTGATCATTATTTCCTCTGATGCATTTTATGCAGTTGAAGTGTCAGTCAGAGGGAAAGCACTGCATATTTGAAGCTTACACATTGGAACACCTTTTTCCGGAAAGAGGAAAAACATAGGATGACAAAATACAAATAAGGTGGTGTCATCTCTATGAATTTGTTTATTTGTTGCAAAATAAACAACCATTTGATTTAATTATCCTGTATTTTGAATAATTGAGACAATTGTCTTTGATGAGAAATCTGTTAATGTCCAAATTTACTGAAAATTTTTGAGAAGCTCCTATATATGAGGATTTTGTGTGGCAGCAAAATTGCCAAGACACATCTTGGTTTTGAAATAACTGGAAGAATATACTGAAATTAAGACATTTCTCCATACTGAGGTGAGCTGTGGCTTTTAAGAACGTGACTAAGAGAAAGGCAATATGAAAGAAAACGGAGCTTTGCTGAAATTCACAGCCCATAGCGCTGACCACTGAAACAAAGAAAACCTGAATTCTCTACTGATTTCATTCTTGTAAAGCTAAAGGGTGGAACTGATCTAAATCTGTATAGAGTTTCAAGTCAGTATCTTGAATTACTAGTGCTAGGGGAAAAAAAAGAATACTGTCCTGGTCAGACATACTGCATAATTAAGGTTGGGAAAATTGTCTGGTTGACAACTTGTCTTATCTGTTGTTGTTTTTTTTTTCTCACTTCACACCAGTTCTACTTGCAGCTATCTCAGTTATCAGTATCAAAAACCTTCATTCAAGCTTATTTAGGAAAACTGTCTGGAAAAAAAATACACGGGTAAAGGAAGTCAGCATTCGGAGAGATGCATACCTTTGTCACAGTGAACCTACACAACATTTTTCTGCATCAGTCAACCTGTGAAACCCTGAATCTGCAACCAAAGTACTTGTATTCCCCTCCTTGAGCTGTCTCTGAGTTTTTAAACTCAAAATTTGTTTTGGTAGAGTGCTTGAATGCCATCATGATCATATGAACAATGAACATTGCAATAGCTTTCTTGAACTAGAACCCAGACATCAAGGCTGGCAGAAATGTTCATACCCTCTTTCAGCCTAAAGCATTTCTAGATATGAATTAATTTATAATGAAAACTATGATAGTCTTAATTTTTAGAAGATAAATGATTGCTAATTAGTTGCAATAATTTGAAATTTTATAGCACTTTTCTCTATGGATATCAAAACACTTTGCTAAGATGGGTAAGTATTATTATCTCATTTTTCACAAGAGATAACTGAGACAGCCAGAGGTAAAACGGCTGATACAAATTGTAAACGTCCTTACTACGTCTGGAATTAGAATTGAGGTCTCTGAACATTCCACTATATATTTATGCAATTACTTTGTAACTATTTCTTCAACTTTAGTGATATCAGTTCTATCAACCCATAAAAAACTTGTGAATTGAATTTAAATATATTGAGATATATTGCAGTTATTTTATTTTTATTTGTTGACTGAATTTAAAACTTTCTAATGCCTATTTTCATGTTTTTCTCAGCACCCCTGAGGGGTTAAGGCTTATTTTAATTCTTAAATGAAATTATACAGAGAAGTCAAACTCTGGTAGGGCCTCAGAATCTATGGATGAAGATTGAGTAAGCCAGGTTGACTGTATAATTACATGTATGACATGTCTACAATGTTTTTTTACCCTCACCATCCTTAAGTTGAACATAATGTTTTGACACTTTGTCTTTCCTGAAATGTCTGAAAAGATCTTTTCCCAAATGGATTCTGACCCAAAGCCAGAAACAGGAAATGCATTTTTGGGGGCTTTATTCTTGGTATCAAAGTCACGCTTACGCATAAAAAGAGTTTAGTCTGCAGCCTGTATATATTTTGTATTTTGAATTTTTAGGTTCCTTTACATTCAACTTCTTTTCTGAATTCTGATAATATTTTATAAGCTGTAGTATTTGTATTTGTCACCGTTTGACTCGGGTCTGACAACAACGTTCTCGATCCCCTCCCCCACCCACCCAGGTAGGGAAGGAGAGAGAAAAAGAGAGAGACTTGGCTGGGTTGAAAACTAAACTACACAGCTTTAATTAAACAGTAATGATATAAGAAAATATATACAATGATATATAAATATGTTCGGATATGTGCAAAAGCCTCTCGCCTCCCCTCACCCCCAGCAACTCCCACAGCACTCTCCTGAGCTGGGAACAGTCCCAAGAAATCCTGGAGCTGCTGGAGAGAGCACAGAGTGATGAGGGTCAGGAGAGCTTGAGCCTGAGGGTCCATGGTGATGGATGGACGGAGTCCTCCCCAGATGCCGGCCATGGATGGAAGAGAAGGGAAGAAGAAGAAGGAAGGAGGTTGTCTTCTGTGATCTCTGACCTTCCTCTGAGCTAACATAGATATATGGAATGGAATATCTCTGGCCAGTTTTGCTGTCTGTCTAACTCAGCCTCCTACGGGGAGGTCATAGATCTCCCCATAGTGTCTGAGCAGGCAGAGCAAAGGTGTGACCTTGAAGACCCAGCAGTGAGGAAAACATCCCACCCTTACCACCCTTAGTTGGAACACTCTGCTACTAGTTAAAAGAAAGCTTACTGAGGGAAAAAAAATCAGTAAAAGGAAAATTGGCTTCATCCTGGCTCAAACCAGGACAGTATTAAATTGCTCCAGTGTTTATTTTAAGAAATTTAGAAATGGAGATCATGTTTGAAATCAAAAGGCAAAACAAATTAAGAATAAGAGCAATATTTGTTCTTTTTTGCTTATTTCAGAAACATTTACATAAATTATCAATGTTTTTGGTTTTTTGTTTTGAAAAAAAAGGGGTTTTCCCACTCTAGAAGGCAATGCTAACTAGTGAAAACATAGCTCTCTGAAAATAATAGTCTGAAAGCTGAAAAATTACTGAAGCATGTTTGTTAAGATGTTTAAAGGAGTTTTTAATGGTGTTGATTTTATTAATTCACTTGAATTCACATTAATATAGAAGGTTTTGAAGAAAGTTCTTTCTTAAAGATTCATCTCTCCTCCTCCATTCAAGATATTAGATGGTCTTGAAATGTCTATCTTCTGATATTTTTGTGAAGTCCACCTGAAAAGTGGAGGAATAGCCTTGCTGTCTTAGAAAAAAATTTCCCCTCAGTATATTACAGAACAGCCCAAAACATGTAAATCTGTTTTCAGCTGTAACCCTGTTACACAATATTTGATCTTTCTCTAGCAATGTACACAGAGCCCAGAGTCCTAAAACCTGAACCAATGCATTCATCCTACAAGTTAGGACATATCTGTGACTTATCTACATTTGTAGTCTACAGGCAGAACACAGATATCTTTGGGAATCTCAAAGTGTTTGAGACGAAAGGAAAATGGTCTAAATGTGAGGTGAAGGCAAAAATACTAAGTCACTCTTCACCACCATCAGGTGATGAGAATATTCTGCTGGCTTCTCATCGTCTACCTCCTGATCCATCTTTTCCAAGGGAACACAAGGGAGCCGATGAGAAGCCAGCACGAGATGCAAAGGCAGATCACAATGGTGTCTGTGAGTATTTCATGCTGTTATATAGTGATTTCAATACCAACCTACAACAGCTTTTGGTTTCTCCTACCACTCACCCCTTCCTTACTAGTAAGTATTCACCTTCAGTTGCTGCTTTTGATGGTGCTGAATTTAATTTTGCTTCTGGTCAAATATGGTCCCTTCTAGTGAAACTCCAGGCTGACCCCACTGTGTCTGCAGTTCCCACTGTCCCTCAGCCCACAAAGTCTCCTCCCTAAAAATTTTTGCTGCTTAGACCTGTCTCTTTAGCTAGTAGTGCGGTCAGTTCAATAACTGCTGGTGTCTTTCAGTCAGAGACCTGTATTTCTCTTTTTAACACAATTTTAATCTTGAAACGCATGTCTGATGTCTGTCTAAGATGGTCTGTGTATCCTCTCATACACTAGATTTGGTAAAATGGATAACAAAATTCGCTAGTGAGTGTCCTGTGGAACTTTGGAAGGATTTTTGATGCTTATGTTTTGTGCATTCCATTTGTTTGATCTTCCCATGTTACCTTTTTCCTTTTATAGTATGTTTCTTTTTTTTTGTGACATTTTATAGTATGTTTGGTTTTTTTTTTTGAAAGCAAGCTTCTCCTCAAACTTAATGCTAAACAGCAGAATGTCTGTTGTTGGACAGGGTTTTTTTTTCCACTGCTACAGAACTATATATTTATTTAACATGGCATGTATAAGCAAGTTAGTTAAAGGAAGTCATACCTTAGAGAGTAATCACAGTTGTCCTTTGCAGAAGAAAGTGAAACTAGTCTTCCAAAGGAATCAGAGGAGCAGAAGGAAGATGTGAAGCAAGTGAAGTCAGACACTGAGAACGTTGGTGCGTACTGCTTTCCACTGAGGAGATGTTGACATGAACTTAAAAAACCCACTGCTTTCTAGTTATCATTCTTTTTTTGCTGTTACTGTTATGAAAAGCATCTCAGACGGGCGCCATCAAGTTACAGTGATTGAGTTTCTCTGTTCCCCTTCAGTTGGCTTACCTTCTGCTCTTTCCTATGGCTGGTCTCTGACCCCTTTGTTGGTTGTTTTCACTGAGCACCTAGGAGAGGAAAAAAAATAAAGACAATGTGTAAAGCTTACAAAATAGGTAATGAGGTTTTGAACTGAGATAACAAACTGGAAAGTACTTTAACAAGTGCTTATGATTAGTTGGAAGTCAAACTGACAGTTTTCTTCATTTCAGTCCAGCAAAAACTACACTGGGTCACCCTTCAGCAGTGTGCCTTTTTGAGGACAATAGTGTCTTCTGGTGGTCTGTTGTGTGTGTTTTATGTAATGATAAGCATTCAATAGCTACTGAAAAGAAACACTTTAAACTTTGGTTTCTAAAACTGAGACCTAAACACCAAGCAAATCTGAACTTTCAGTAGGCCATGAGTTTTAAAATCAATGGTTTTTAGAACACACTCGAGATTTTTTCTGCTTTAAATTCTTCAGTTTTGAATATTCACAGCAAAGTTTTTAAGAGCATGAGGGAAAGCTTGTTAGAGGCTGTTCCAGGACAAGTTGTTACAAAGACATGGTACCCCTGTTTGGAGCTAAGTAGTGCCTCTTACTTTGTTGAAGGGGGCAAAGAATGTGTGAATCCTTCCCTATTACAATTAGGTGCAAATGTCAGCAAGGAGCCTAAAATGTATGGTAAATATAAATTTCCTTTATGTTCCCACTTCTGAGATGCAGAAGGCAATTTGGAAGAGCAAAATAGTGAAGTACCCTTGGAAGCACAAAAACAGCCTGAGGAACTAGAAAAGAAAATCTCAGAAACGTTCTTCTATAACTATGAAGATATACATTCACGGCCGTTTGTCACTGAAGACTCTGGAATACCAATTAACCTTCTTACTCTTAAGTATCCTTTCTGTTGAGGTTGGGCAAATTTAAACCTAGGGGTATTTAATATATGTTCTTAAAATTGTACTTGTTTAATTTGGAGTAGCCTATGTGGCATTAGAGGGATACCTTTGGTTGAGACACAGATAAGAAGCCTGACCAGTTATGTTTCTGTGTGAATTTAATCTTAAATGTTGTCTTGAGCTCATAAAAATTTCTTATTGGGCATAATTCTTACTGTTTTAAGTACTCTTTATGACTAGATCATGGCCAAGTTAATGTCACTGGGCAGAAGACTATCCCCTGCAAAGCTCTCCCTTTCTCTGTAGCTACACAGGTGTTCCCCAAGAAGCTAAGGGGAGGGCAGAAGAAGAGCAGCTGTGTACCTCATACTTCTTTGCAAAACTACTAAGGGAGAAGTGGGGAAGAAGCCAGGTAGATATGTAGCCTGATGCTCAGAAGATCTAAACTAGTAGAATGAAGGAAGTGATGCCCATCAATTAAGAGCTAGAATAAGTCCTTTGCTAGGTAAGTTTGAGTAGGATATGATATGGCTTTAAAAAACGCTTTTGGTTTTCTCCACAGACACAGTTGCTATTGAAGACTGGATTTTTCCCTTCTCTACATCTGCCTGTAAACATTTAAGAAGTGAACTTGAGCACTTTCTTGGTTTGATCTCATTTCTGTAAAATAGTTCCTACTAATCTGTTGCACATCTCTTACATTTTGTTTGTAAAGAGAACACTAAGAGAATATGAATTCCTTGGGGCCCCAAAGGATCCAGCGGGGAAAGATGTGTGCCCTGCAAGTAGAGATGAGAGGATGGAATATGAACTTTAGAAGGTATTCACTTCTGCCTTCCTATCAGTTACTTGATTACCTTCACTGTATACTGAACAAAAGTATCTTCTATCGTTAGGCTTTTAGCCACCAGATTCAGAATTCCCATTTCAGTTTTGGTTTAAGCGTTTCTCTCCACTTTAGTAAACTTCTCTAGAAAGCCAGTGTCAAATCTATTCCTTATTGAACTGTTCTCAGACATTCTTTTGGATATGACTGTACCAGAAATGCAAACCTGCAGGTGATGGATAGCCAAACACTGCTGTATGTAGCAGGCAATCAAGTGGTGCTTCTAGACCTGAAAACTCAATCTCAAAGTTATATCCGGAGCAGCAGTGGTGGTGGAATTGGTTTTATCACGGTATGGCTTTTGTTTCATTTTTTAGGATGTTAGTCACTTTTTAGAAGAAAAATGTTCACTTGGTTGCCTGATGGGAGATTTCTACAGCTGTACATGCATAGACATAAGAAAGTATGGTATTGATTAGGGGGATGTGTGAGCTGATCAGTCTGTGAACATAATTGGCAGAGGACAAAAATCTGCATACCTAAGTCCAAGTCTCAGGGACCAGAAAGACTGACAGGTGCCAGGTGGGATGTTTAGAAACTATTATATTCTTATTTCAGCTCATATCAACTTTTTTTTTTTCTTTTTTTTTTTTTTTTAACTTTCATCTCTCCTAGTCACAGCTGGTATTATTATACTTTTTTTTTGCCTACAGTTAACATTTAGAAAACCAAGTTTCAAGACCAATGAGAGAAGAAGTATCTGGGTTTTTCTAGAAAGGTTGTACCAAGAGCTTGGACTCTCAAATGCTTCCTCTGGATTTGAAGCAACTTACCCTGTGAAGGGCTCTGCCATCTCTTCAGTTGTGTTCCACATGATTGAGGGTTTCAGAATACCAGCCTTAGACTGTTCTGCTCCATTATAAGAAGCCTTTTCTGGGGAATCATGGTACATCTTCATGTCTTCAGAACAATGTAATTCAGGATGACTTTTCTGCAGCTGTCTACTGAATTAGATGGCTGCTGACACAAATGCTGCTCATAGCAAGATCAGCTAGTGGGTCAAGTGAGATAGGAATAGTAAAAGAATGGGTAATACAGCAAAATTTTTCAGTTTGTCATGGTTCTGCATTATATGTGCAATATACCATTTTGTGTGCATAGTAGTTTTGTTCTGATATTGAGCAACAGATTGGCTGTTTTTTAGAACAAACACACCAAAAAACGCAACCTACTATTTATGGCAATATCTTTTGACTAATGAGTGAATAAATACAATGACTTGATAATGAGCAGAATAAGAGATGAGGGTGTCATTACAGCATTCAAGAGCATTTTTGCTTTTCCAAGGCACATCCTACTAAGCAGTACTTTGCAGTAGGAGAGAAAGGAGAGAAGCCAAACCTCATCGTCTATGATTACCCTTCACTGAGGCCCTACAGAATACTGCAAGGTAGTGTAAAAAATTCTGTTTTCATTTTGCACAAATAGACTAATGTTTATAGATCCCAGCAGATGGAGTAGTGGGTCACTTTAGAAGTTTAGAAGGAAATAAATCCTTTTGGTTCTTCACAGCAAAATAGAAGCCACTGGTTTCAAGTCTTCTCATTATTGTATGGGAGGATACTTTTATTTAGTCAAAATGGCCAATTGAGAGCTATTACCTAGTAAAAAAAAATAGTTGTAGTGAAAATTGAGCTCCTTCCAAGCAGATTTTCCTATTGTTTCTTGCTTTTTTCCATGTGTGTGTATTTGGGCTTGTATGTTTCTTCAGGTGGAACAGAGAAAGCTTATGTTTTTGGTGATTTCAACAATGCTGGCACTTTGCTGGCCAGTGTTGGGAGCAGCCCTGACTACATGCTGACTATCTGGGACTGGAAACAAGAACATATTGCATTGAGGTCAAAAGCTTTTTCCCAGGATGTTTACAAGGTCACATTTTCTGCTGACAATGAAGAACAACTAACTACATCTGGATCAGGGCACATCAAGTAGGTTTATTGATTAGGATTAATAAATATCACCTCTGAAGTAGTAATATGTAGAAGATGACTAACAGGAGTGTGTCATTGGCAAACATGGACCAATGAGGAGTGCTATTTTACTTGGCCATTACAATTACAAAAATGAGAAACTTCAAGTCCTTCAGCCAGTCAGTCAAGTCTTTTAACACCTTTGCTGTGCAAAAAGGATGATGCTTGATGTTGAAGGTCAGTACCACCAGCTCCATTCTTGTAATTTCAACAAGCACCAGAGAGAGTTAATTAAAAAGTATTGTATATATACATCTTGTAGCTGGTAACATAGCATATATGCCTCCTGGGCTTTTTGCCTTGGATTCCTTGAAATCATCTGCTGTTTTGGCAGTCATTAGAACTGGTTTCCAAGTATCAGAAACCCTTTGATAACACGAAAAGCCCACAAGGAAGCCTTACAAAAGATATGCTTCCATACATTCCCTTCTCTGATAAGTTCATGGATCCTTTTGTAATAAAAAATAAACCACAACTTTAAGCTCTTTGGGACAGAGATTATCTTTGTGTTCTGTATTTATCCATGTGCTCAAAGTTAATACGGCAGAGACAAGATATTACTTAGATGCTATTGTAATAACAATGATACCTATAAAATTATAAAACATCTTAAGTTTCTTTGCATTTTAACACAGGAATCAGGTAAAAATCTGAGATTTGCTCTGTAGTTTGGTTGCAAGGTGGGTCTGAACTAGCAAATGGCTTATTTAGACCCTAAAGGTATGTGGCTTTGAATACATTATTTATGGAAATCTGACAAAACAAAATATCTTATGAACTTTATTAACTATGAACTCTATTTTTTTAAACTATGAATAAATACTATAGCTATTAATGGATACTATAAATACTAGAAATAATTAAGCAGTTAATTTTAATACTATTAATAAACTCTGACATAGCTTTTATAACATGAGAAATATGACCTTTTACCCGAATATGTTCCTGAATTCTAATTTCCAACATCTGTCCTAATGTCTCCTACATACACAGTGAACCATCCCTAATTGCAGTAGATAGTAATTTTTCTGTACTGTAGTAATTTAAAGTTATGTTTTATAATACTGAAACATAATGATCATCTAGGAACAGCTATGAAGACCAAGGATAAAACCTTTGACTCAGTGAGATTTTATAGTAAAGCTCAAGTCCAAGGAGGTACTTGGATGAAATTGAGTTCAGACCTTTGTCCCTTGGATTTACAAAGTTTAGCTTCATACGCTGAAGACAGTAAGAGTAAAATATGTATCCCTATCTACATGTATTGGTTGTAGCTGGAAAGAAGGAGCTATGAATTTTACACTTACTATTCTTAAATAGTAGTTTAATCTTCATTCTGCTAATTCCAAATTCTTTTCATAGCTTTCTCATAGGTGTAGTTTAGGGAAATGTTTGTGTAGTTATGAAGTTTTATCTCATCTTAAAAAGACAAACAAACAAGATTTTCCTGTGAAAAAGGAATAATAAATGAGCAGGCCTTACCTCAGAGGCATCACTGGTAAGATTGTTACAACTGAGATGGACTGAACTGTGTGTTTAGGAAATCTTGTATCAGAGAGCAATGTTTTTTCTGTACTCAGGTTCTGGAAGATGGCTCTCACATTCACTGGCTCCAAATTACAAGGAGCTTTGGGCAGGTTTGGAAAAACATCAGTGACAGATATTATAGGTTATGTGGAGCTGCCTGATGGAAAGGTAAGTAAGAAAAAGTTTAATTGCTTTTAAATTCCCTCTCAGATTTTTATATAAAGTCTACTTAGTAAGTTGGAGAAGTCCTATTTGCTTCAAAGTTATTTGAATGAGACCCTCAGTGCACTGCTTTGATAAGCTAATATTGACATGAATCAATTAGAAACCAGTCTTGCTCTGTGAAAATTGAAAAGCATGGTTAGTATTGTAATTCCCAGAAAAAATATCTCTTGACTTATAGCTAAGGCTCCTGTAATGGGTAGTGAAAAGTTTAGTGTAAAAAAATACACATATTGTTAACCCTGCTACCAAGAAGATGGAGACTCCCTATTTACAAAGAGTCACATGGAAAAGACAAGGGGTAATGGGGACAAATTGCTCCTGGGGAGATTCCAATTGGACACAAGAGGTAAATTTTTCACCATGAGAACAGTTAAACATTGGAATAGTCTCCCAGGGGAAGTAGTAGATTCCCCCACAGTTTTAAGTCTTAGCTTGACAGGGTACTGAGCCGCCTCATATAAACTACAGTAGTACCTAGAAAGGTTGGACCAGATGATCCTTGAGATCCCTTCCAACCTGGCATTCTATGATTCTGTGAACCCTAATCTTTAGCACTTTTCAGTGCCTGTAAATTGTGTCACATTGCTAAGAAGTGGAATCTTGTCACCTTTTATACCTTCTCTTGCTGTCAATGTAATGCTTTCATGGAAGGATGCCACACATGTCAATCAGATTCTTGGCCAGTATTTCTGCATGGTTAAGTGCAGGTGTTCATATGCTACTCTTTGTGTTGAAGGTTATCTCGGGGACTGAGTGGGGCAACTTGCTGCTTTGGGAAGGAGGCTTCATTAAGATAGAGATCTGTCGAGCTGGACACAAGCTCTGTCACAGTGGCCCTATCAGCCAGTTAGTTCTGGAGGGAGGAGAACTTATCACTGTTGGAAGAGATGGCTTCATTCGGGTGAGTTTTTCTTCTGCAATTTATGGAGGCAATTTACAGTGCAGTTGATTTCTGAAAATGAATTTTTAGAACAAGCAGAGTAAGAGCACATCTCCATAGTGTATATACTTGAATCAGATAGTATTCATGTACTGTTCTCTGTTAAATAGCAGAAAATAAATTCCCTTTTACTCAAATAAAATAATTTTCAGTTATTCTCTAGAAGATTTGTTCTTGCCTGTATTCTAACAAATGAAGGATGAGGGAACAGAGTGTGCCCTCAGCAAGTTTGCTGATGACACTAAACTGGGAGGAGTGACTGACTCACCAGAAGGCTGTGCTGCCATTCAGTGAGACCTAGACAGGTTGGAGTGTTGGGTGGGGAGAAACTTGATGAAATTCAACAAGTATAGAGTCTTTCATCTGGGGAAGAACAACCCCATATAGCAGTACAGGCTGGGGGCTGACCTGCTGGAGAGCAGTGGAGGAGAAAGGGACCTGGGGGTCCTGGTGGGCAGGAGGATGACCATGAGCCAGCAATATGCCCTTGTGGCCAAGAAGGCCAATGGCATCCAGGGGTGTGTTAGAAAGGGTGTGGTTAGTAGGTCAAGGGAGGTTCTCCTCCCCCTCTATTCTGCCTTGGTGAGGCTGCATCTGGAATATTGTGTCCAGTTCTGGGCCCCTCAGTTCAAGAAGGACAGGGAACTGCTTGAAAGAGTCCAGTGCAGAGTGACAAAGATGATTAAGGGAGTGGAAAATCTCCCTGATGAGGAAAGGCTGAGGGAACTCAGTCTCTTTAGCTTGGAGAAGAGGAGACTAAGGGGTGACCTCATCAATGTTTACAAATATGTTAAGGGCGAGTGTCAGGAGGACAGAGTCAGGCTTTTTTCAGTGATGTCTAGTGATAGGACAAGGGGCAATGGATGCAAACTGGAGCATAGGAGGTTCCATGTGAATATCAGGAAGAACTTCTTTACTGTGAGAGTGACAGAGCCCTGGGATGGGCTGCCCAGAGAGGCTGTGGAGTCTCCTTCTCTGGAGACATTCAAAACCCGCCTGGACACGTTCCCGTGTGATGTGCTCTGGGTGACCCTGCTCTGGCAGGGGGGGTTGGACTAGATGGTCACTCAAGATCCCTTCTAACCCTAAGGATTCTCTGATTCTAAATTTGTTCCTTGTGTAGTTTTGCTTAATCTTTATAATTTTCAGGCCTATTAATACATTTGGTTTATTTCAAAGAAGAAACTATGGCAATATTTGAAATTACTTTTCTGATTATTTGAACGCTGAATGTTAAAATGACAGAAATTAACTAGTGACTTAAAGATATATGTGCTGAAATAGAGGAACAATTGAAAGAAAATACATTGGACATCCTGAAGTTAACATATACTTCTATAGATCAAAATCAAAATGGTTTTCCTGTCTATACCACTAGTTTCTGATCTCACCTGTCAATTATAAATGATTTTGTAATGTTGTTTTCCTGCTTTTTAAGGCAAGACAAGATGTGTCTTCTGCTGGTGTGTGAAAGACCCAGATAATTAACACATAGTGGAGGGTTTCAAACCACCCTGTGGTTTTGGTTTGAGTTTTTGTTTGGTTGTTTTGGTTTTTTTTGTTGTTGTGTTTTATAAGTTGGTATTATCCCATTAGGAAAATTTGTTTGGTTGTAAGGGTTAACTGGTATCTTGTCCTTATCCCACAGAGAAGAAAATGGATTTATTAGGTTTCCTATTCTTTCTTCTGTGCTGCCTGACTATGAGCAATGCTGAGAACAGGCAGATACCATTTACTCTCTGTAGTTCTGTGGCTGCCAGGAGTAGCTCTGCCAGTGCCATGGCTGAATTTAAGCTACTGTTGTTTGATAACTTGACAGAGTACTTTTACATGTACTTTGCATTGCACCCAAACACATCAGATAGTAGTTGCTGATTGCCATTGTTCTAGGTTACATTCAAAACAGTGAGGCAGATGAGACAGGTTTTGTACTCAGCCTGTAGAATATACACTCCCCTGGTTTCTTGTAATTTTGAATTTGCATGTTAATTGTGTATGAAAACATAACCTGGCCTTATAAAACCCCATAATATTTTTTAATGTTTCCAATCCTATGAAGGTGTGGAACTCTGATATGATAGATACTGCTGATTCTGTGGATGACACAGGGTTACTGGAGGTGGAACCTATGAATGAACTTTGTGTCGGCAGGAACGTCAGCCTCAGTTTCATGTCAAAAGTTCAGGACTCTGGACAGCCTGTTTGGTATGCTCAGGTATGATACACTGAAGTACATGCATCTCTGTGGTAAAACAGGTGAGGGAGGGATGTTAATCAACAGCAGGAGGCCATTTTAAATCAGTTTCTTTTTTTGGCAGAATTCAATCTTCTTCTGGATATATATAATCTTCTTCTTCCAAACACTGGAACATGCTTCCTAGAGAGATGGTCAATGTCCCAAGCCTGTCAGTTTTAAGAGATACTTGGACAATGCTTTTAACAACATGCTTTAGCTTTTTGGTCAGCCCTGAAGTGGTCAGAAAGTTGGTCTAGGTTATCATTGTAGGAACTTGCCAACTGAACAGAGCTGCTCTGCTCTATTCTATTCAATATTTTTAGTGTCTAGTGGCACCTTGGCTCTCAGAGTCAGAACTGCATGATAATAGGAGAATGTAGAAAAGTATTGTCCAAGTTCTGATATCCTGGACTGATGAATAGGATTGATAGGACCAACATTAGCACATTCAGCCATTTCAGTTTCACAATGATAATCATGAAGTAATTTTTAAGGAGTGAGTACCGTTACCTCCAAACTGAGTTTGAAAATATTCAAGTTGCATGTTTTGTTTCTTCTTCAGGATAGCAATGGAGCAATCTGGAAGCTGGATTTGACTTTTTCAGATATGGCAAGTTTATTTTGTTTGTCTTTTTTTTCTGATTTCTTTAATTCCTTTGAAATAATTTCATTTAACTATACAAGATACATCTGCAATGAAGTTTGTGTTTTATGAAGCTTTATGAAGAATGATTTCCCATGCAGCATAAGCCCTAGGCTTGAGAGCATTTTTTGGCTTCAGATCAACAGCTCTTTGTTAAAAATACTAATTCCAAGCCTGAAACAACTTAATGAAAGGCATTCCCCTTTATTTTCACATAGAAAATGATGGAATTTTAAATTAACTTCATGTTCCTACGTTAGTTTTGCTCGCAATCTTCTCTAGGAACATTTGAATAAAACAGAAGAGGGAATTGCTTATACATACTTCATGTATGCCAATTTTTGTTCATGCAAACAGCACCTGTCTAGATTTTTCATGTTCACTGTGGGTGTGGCTGGCAATAGCTTGTAAGTGCAGTTCCAGAGTGTACCAAAATTTCTGTTCTTCTGTTTTGCACTGCAGGCCCGTGATCCAGAGTGCCTGTACACCTTTCACTCTGGAGGAATTGAAGCCATGAGTGTGTCTCCCATTACATATCTTCTGGCCACCACTGCTCTTGATGGTAAGTACATGATTCCTTTCCTTTCATACTACTGTGGTTATTGTTTTTGAAGAGCAGTGATGCTTGATTTGGAACTATTCTGTTTTGAACTGAAGTTGTGTATTTGCTGTTGAAAAGTCACAAGTCACTTTATAAACAGTTTTTATTCCTGCTATGAGTTCTTTAATAGTTAAGAGAAATCATTCATTGTTTTGAAATTATGCATTAAGGCTGCTTCATCTTAAAAGCCTGGGATTTTAACAAGATAAGTGTAATTGGAAACTTTGTAAATTCTGTTCCTTCTGAAGGAGTGACTGAAAAGATGAGAAATTTGGGTTGAATAACAGCTCTTGTATTTAAGGCTCTGGACTGATAAGTGGGATTTTTGTTTTTTAAGGAATTACATACATCTGCAGCATTGTGTACATAATTGTGAATATTAATCTTTGTGGCTTTCTTATAAAATGCAATAGCTATCATGCTCTCAACAACAGCTAACATGTAATTACAAACTTATTTATTCAATAGTTAATAAATATTGCAATTTAGACCTCTCCCAGTTAGGTTTATCATGCTTTGAAAGAAGAACCACTGGCCAGAACATTAACAATGTCATTCACACTTCTCAGAAAATGCTACTCAATTCTTGTCTGCCTTATCTGTCTGTGTTATACCATGTACATGCTCTGCTAGCCCCAAGACAAACTCCTACCATTTAAGCAAATGACAGAGTATAGGCCAGCTGGAGTGGAATTTTATGCAGACAAATATGTGTGTCTACAAATCTGTTAATTTTCACCTCTGGTGAAATTTGCTTTTCTTTGGACAATCTCCCATTGTCATTCATTTAAATATTTTCCTCCCTAGGCCATTCCAAGTAATAGCTTATAATATTTTCCTGTGTTTTCAGTTCAGATTTTCCTTACAGCATGCCACAGTTCTGTGCTTACTTGAAAATTACACGTGGTGGTCAGCATATGACTTCTTATTACAACCCTCAGCCCTGACAACTCTTGGGAGCCTGCAAGTTAAAAAGTGAAGAAAGCTTATGTTTTGTTCTCAAGCAGCAGGCTAGCTGTGGTACTCTGGAACCATCAGTCATGTCTTTTCAGATGGGTGTTTGATACTCAGAGAAAAATTAATAACTTTCTATCCAGCTTTAAATAAATAGATATTTCTCCATTAATCTTAAAATGTGATGTTGCAAGACATAAATTATTGCTGTTTCCTTTCCACACAGGGTCAGTGCGCATCTATGATTTTATCAGCAACAGTCAACTGAGTGAAATTAAGTTTAAACAAGGAGGAACAGCACTGACCTGGGCACCTCATGTTGTGAGTTTTTGCTAGTGCATTAACACTAGCAGAGGTGTATGACTGCAAGCATCAAGGAAGTTGCTCACAATACAGCACCTTAAAGAAGTCAGTGTTAGGCCATGCAGGAATTTACTGTAGCACTATATCTATATCTATATCTATCTATCTATCTATCTATCTATCTATCTATCTATCTATCTATCTATACCTATATCTGTATCTACATCTATATCTAAGTTTGTAGAGTAGTGTGTATGTATATAGTATGTGTACAGTTTGACTTTATTGTGGATTATCAGGTATCCTACTTTGTGTCTTCCAGAGTTTTAAAAATCAGATCTCAGTGTGCAGTTTCATGAAGTAGTCTTAGTTTGTAGACTAACAGCTTCTGTTTAACCCACACAGAGTAATTGTCAGTTAGGATGAGATAGTTAACAGATTTTGAAATGACAGACAATCCACAAACATTTGGATATAAATAATTCAAAAAATGTTGCCATTTTGAATTGATCATTTGTGGAATGTGGAATCTATCACTTTTAGACATATTTGCTAATTTTAATTAAAATGGTGTCTCATTGTGGTCTGGAGGAAACATTGAAAATATGGTGGGTTAATTATAGGCAAATTTCTGGAGGGAAGTGCTTACTTGAATTTCCAAGATGAGGATAACACTGGGACGGTGCTTTTGTAACTGTAATTCTGGCCATGCAGACTTTAAGGGATGCTGTTAGGTGATGACCTATAGATTCAAGAGGTAAGCTAATTGCCACAATAAATTATACAGCATTACAGAATTATTCAGTTCAGTTTTACAACAGATGGTACTAAACACAGTCTGAAAAATCAGGGGTACTTGATATATCTAGCTGCATTTAAAATTCCAATAGATACTTCCATGTAGCTTAAGATGCTCAAATGTGTTTGAAAATCTGTGCTATTAATTGAAGGAAATTTCATGCAACGTATGTTGAAGCATCTGTCTACTATAATAACCTCATAAGCAAGGAAACAACATGAAGGTTAGATGAGCGAACAGTGACATGGATTTACAACTGCCCAAATGGCTGGTAGTGATCAGCAGCACAAAGTCCAGTTAGAGACAAGTCTCTAGCTGTGTACCCTAGGAATCAGTACAGGTGCCAGTACTCTTAATTAATGGCCTTGCCACTGGGACAGAGTGTTCACAGAATACAAAAGTGAGAGGAGTACTTTAGAAGGTTGTGCTGCCATTCAGGGGTATCTGGACAGGCTGGAGAATTGGGCTGAGGAGAATCTAAGGAAATTCAACAAGAGAAAATGTGCATCTGGGTAGTAATAAACCTAGGCACCAATACTGCCTAGGGAGCCACGAGCTGGAAAGTAGTTCTGCAGAGAAGGATCTTGGGGGACACCAAGCTGACCATGAGCCAGTGATACACCCAAAGAAGTCCAACAGCATCCTGGGCTACATTAGGAAGGGCTTTACCAGTTGGTTGAGGGAGGTGATCTTTGGGAGGCTCCCAAGTAGAGGAAAGATACAGAACTAATGGAGTCAAACACAGAGCCATAAATTTGAGGTTCATGAGTGACTCCTCTTGGTCGTTTACTGAGCAATGCTATCATACACCTGCTTATTACAAGAGGGGCTTTTTAAGTTAAGACATCACAAGCTGATCTCCCCAGATAATGACAGTTACCCCCAGCTCCCTTTGGAATGATAAGCTTTTTCATGCCCAAGATCATACTTTGCCAGTTGCCCACAGAGCTTATTCATTCTCTCTCATCTCTTCACATAGCAGTTCTCCTTCTGGTCTAATTTCTGGTGTCGATTAGTATTGATCTGTGCTATGTCTGGAGATGGCTCAGCTTGTAAGTCACTTCAAGACACTACCATGTATGGCTAATGTTAGCTAAATCTGCAAATCTAGCTAGATCCAGCCAAAACACAGCCCTGTTTCTGTTAATTCTTTCTCACAATTCAAGCCTGTCTACATTGTTAGCAATCAGCTTACCTACAGGGCCTCTTGTAAAGACTCCAGAGCCTTCTCTTTCCATCTCAAGTAGTTGTCCCTATTGACAACTGTACTTTACATGGAGTCAGCTAGACTCAAGTCTTTGCCCTCACCTCTTCAAAAATCATACCCACATTTGATGCCCAATATGATATTCAGGATAATATAACAATTCCTTTTTTGAGTTCCAACTCTTCTCCTTAGGAAGACACTACTGATATATTTGTATATCAGTATGGATTACCTTCCTCAGATGTTACAACCACATCCTCATTAACATGTTATCAGTAAAAAACCACAAACAATCCAAATGAAAAAACAACCCTCAGTCCTCCCAGTCACTTTATGGTAGCATATTAGAAACAATAAACAACACTTCCTATGTATGAAATGTTCTTTGTGCTTTAGGAACACTTCCATGTAAGATGAGTTATAGATTCTTATAGTTACAAACTCTTATTCTAAGTTCTCAGATGTATACTGTGATTTTTTTTTCTTCATTCTTTCACTCAAAGGTAAGTCCTAAAGGAGAAGTAATTGCTGTGGGGTTTGAAGATGGTGTTACCCGCATAATTGAAGTCTACAATCCCAAAGAACTACCCACTCTTGCAGAACAGACCAATATAGAGAACGCAGAGATAAATCTAAAACAAGCTTTCAAACCTCATTCTACTGCAGTTACAGCCTTGGCATATGAATGTAATGGAGAAGTGCTTGCCACAGGGGTATGTATGATTTTTTTGGTAATTTTTATTAAGCCAATACGTAGAGATGATTTAAAGGTGCATAAGGTGATAAGGTGCAGTTTGTTTACTGACAACACAGTTATACTTCTGTTACTACTGTTGATCACTTGTTTTTCTCTGGGGTGCTGAGGGAAGAGAAAGATCTGTTTGCACTCACATTAGTTTTCTGAAGGAAGTCAGCCATGCAATTCATACAATTAATTTTGTGCATTACTGGACTGTTTAGTGTGAACACTGTAATCGCCTTTGAAGATGAATTTGGTTCATTTTGAAATTAGATTAGTAGTATCTTGATATTAGTAAAAGCAAGTCCATTCATACACCACCTGGGCAGTGCTCCAGTTGCTACTCAGCACTGCTTGGCCTTCCAACAGGACCATCCTGTTGGTCTGTTGATGTGCCTGCCTATCTTTGAGATTATTTCCAGTCAATGTGGTCTCTCTTTTTAAAAACTGGTCTTCAGCCATGATCACTGCATTTGCAGTTACGTGTTCCTTGAGCTGAATCACCATGCATTTCACTTAACACAGGATTTAAGCTCTCACGTGTCATGTTGTGCACCAGTTCTGGACTTTGTTTTTATCCAGGTAAATCAGCCTGTGCTGTCTTATCTGAAAAATCAGCCTTGAGGCTGAGCTTTAAAGGAGCTCCTGGAGCAATGGGCAGAAAGCACATGGCTGGGGATGCCAGGTGAAGCCCATCAGGACTATGGGTGCACTCAGGGACCTGGAGCAATGTGGGCAGAATTTTTATTTCTGCCTTGTAATAATGGAAATCCAATCCTAAATTCCAAGGTACTTGTAAGTTCCCCTGTTGAGCCACAAAACATTTGAAATATATATTGATGTCCTAAAGTACTTTCAGTCTTTTGAATTTTTGGTCAGCTTTGATTCAATCATCATCTTTGTGTTGTTTTTTTTTCTCAGAGTAAAGACAAAACTGTTTTCTTTTTTGCTGTTGGAGATAAATATGAGCCAATTGGATTCATCTATGTCCCTGGGCCTGTGCAGGCATTACAGTGGTCTCCACCTTCTCATGTGAGTAATGTATATTTGCTCTCTTTCCTACAGTGTTAAAATGTCATTTTGAAAATAACTTGCAAAGAAAATAGATGAAGATCCATGACCCAGCCATGTTCTTTATTAATAAAGCAAATGATGTTTTGCCACTTTGTTCTTCATGCTGCTTCAGAATGACGGGTTCTGTGTAGCAGTCACTTTGAATGTGTTTTAGACTTTGGATAATAAAGAGCAAAAATATATGCAAGCCACAAAATTTTTCACAGCTTTTTTGAGTTTCTGCCTTGAAGAAACAAGCCTATCCCTTAGTTTCTAGAAGGTCTTTATCTTTGGTAAGAGAGTCATTTGAGTATTATTGCCTGTGCCTCTTGCCCTTATTAAAAGACGCTTTAGCAAAGCTTTTGGACCACGTTAAAAAAAGCTTTTGGGTGTGTCTTGGATTTCACATACTGTGTTTGAAGTGTGTCAGTGACATATTCAAATAGATTCTTTTTAATGTTTTAGAAGTTCTATAAGGTTAGAGTAACATCTGCAATTTTGGTTGGTTCAGTATTCTTATTTAGAAGGGAGATTGTTCATTATATTTAGATTCTGACAAAGTGGCCAGTAAGATATGTTATCTTGGTGGATGCTGGCAAAATATAGCTATCATTTTTTGTTCATGTGACCTGGTAAAATCTGCAGCTGAAAAAAGAACTCTTGCTGTCAGGAACTCTATCTTTCTTACTGCAGAAATGACAGATCTTGATCTCACTGTTGCATTTTTAGTCCTTTCCTCTCGAACAAGGTACTCCTGCTTACTAAAAAAGCACCCATCACGTCTTTGATATGTTAGGTTCCCTGCCATAATACAAGCATCTGAGTGTAATACCACTTTTTTACTCTTAAAAAACCCGCCTTGGTGATTAAATACTATACATTTACTGAATGCATTTGTAAAGCTGAGATTTTGTAAACATAAGAACCATATAATTTCTAGTTAAGGTTTCCATAGCAACTCTAATAGGCCCCCTTTTCACATTTTTAATGATGGATCAGATAAAATAAGCCTCTCTCTACTCTCCAGATCACTTAAAACATTGAAACTAAAGACAGATTTGCCTTTTAAAATCTTAAAACACTAAGTAATTATTATCCTTACCTCACCTATTGTTCCTAACTGCATTTGAAAGGACTTGGCAGGTACCAGCAAAGAACAAGAAAACTCAAAGCTAAATAGCTTTTGGCAAGATTCTGAGCCCAGTCTTGAAGATACAAGGGATTTACTAGTATAGAAATGTATGAACTTTCAAGCAATTAGCAAAACAAAGCCTCAGCTCCTAACTTTTGGGTCAGATCCATCCTTTAAACAAACTGCCAAAAGATCACCATACTGTTTCCAAGCTAGAAAGTGTCAGAATGAGAGCTGTTTTGTATGTGGCAAGGACTGCTTCAGTTCATTCCAGTTTGCCTAGAATACACAGTATAACAGAAACTCACTGGTTTCTGATGTCCATTTAAAAGTGTCCATTTAAATAAGAGCACAGTTAGAGTTAATGCCTCCTTACTGAATCTTGGCTTTGTGCATCTGCATCTTCTGACTAACTTTTTCCCATCTCTCTCAGTTCTGTTCATCTGCCTTATACTTGTATTTTTTTGTGTTTTCATACAGGTGAAGAGCATGCTGCTCATCCTTTGTGAGAATGGCTTTGCTCTCCAGGTTCCTGCCCCTGTCCCTGAGGAACAAGATACAGCGTCCACTTATAAAATAAACAACCTGCCAACACAGTACTTCCATTTTTACAGTATTAAATCCCGAATCAAGGTAAAGAACTCTCCTGTGCAGGAATTTCATACTCTTCACATGCCAGAGGACAAAACTAACCCAAAAGGTTTCAAGTCCTTATATTGCGTCATAGGATTTTTGCTAAGCTTCTTGAAGGAAAAGGCCAAGTAGAGTCCATTTGTGGCTGAGTTTTAACATTTGAAATTATGAGTTGTTTGATTGTTGAAATCGAACATATACTGAAAGCAAGATGTGCATTTTGATTATAATTAAAATATAGCACTAGTGAAAGGGAAAGGTAGTATAGCACGTTAGTTCTTAAAATATTTTTATTTTGGTAATTTTGAGAAAAAGTATGTTTGTGGTTTATGTTGGCCCTGTAGGAAATTCATTCAAATAGTTACAAAACACTTATGTGGTTACTTTGAGGCAAACATGAAACATCTTTCCTCCCTGCTCCCACCCTCTGCCCCCCATGTTTTTTTTGTTTGTTTGTTTGGGTTTTTGTTTGTTTTTTAATGTTGTAGTAACTTCATATGTGTAGCTTTTGTTTCGAATGAGAAATAACCTTTTAGAAGATATGTGAGGCCAGGGAAAGGGACAACTGGCCACCTCCAGCTGAATGCTGCCAATTGGCCATCAGACGCCACTATACTGCCAACTTGCCTCCGGGAGCACTAGCCATCAACTAACAGGTGGCACTCTTTCAGCACCTTCAGCACCATGTACAGAAACTTGGGGTCCAGGTAGCTCTGCTCATGGTGCTCTGAGTTCTGCAAGAAAACTGTGTATATATGGGCAGCTCAAGTGTATGAGTCACACACTATTTTTAACATGAAAAGTGAGTGATGAGATAAAATCAACTCAATCAAAAGTGAGATATTTTAAAAAAATAATATTAAACAAATGCAATTCAAACCTATCAAAACACAGTTTTAAAAAATTGTGTTAAATACATGCACTTATATAACATAAGCATTTTTTTTCAAATTTGTTAAACAAATGCAATTATAGAACATCTTTTATTTTCTCAGACTATTATTAAACAAATGCACTTAAAAAACATAAACCCACAGTTTTTAAAAGTGACGTCCAGGACTGCAACCTAAAACAAGCTGTTCATAATACATTTAATTGAGTTGCCTTTATCTCATTAATTTTTTGTTTCTTAGGTTTGATTGAGTTGCCTTCAAGTTGCTGAAGGTGGTTCTGTTCATGCTGCTGCACAAGTGCTACCTGCTGGTTGGCAGCCAGTTCTCACAGCTGTGAGTTGCTGATGTAGAAATGTCCAGTGACCAGTTGTCATGGATCCATGAGGCCAAAGGAAAAGCATTATGCTAGTTCCCAGCTATAGTTAATTTTGTGAAATTAAAAAGCAAGCTGATGTTAGGCTCAGGAGCTGAACTCCCATGAGCAGGCTCTCAGTCCCATATTCAACCTAGCACAATCCAACAACGTCTCTGATTTTATCCTCAGCCTATGATTTCTCTGCTTTCTCTATTAACTGCTCCTGTCTTCTCTGAGTGGTGCATTACTGAATGTCAGGCAAAGCCTCATTTCTTGTTAAAATTAGGAGAAAGTCAGCATACAGGAGAAAGTTTTCCTAGTGGTTTTCTCACAAGAAGAACCACAAGAATGATCACAAAGCTAGCATATAAGGAAAGAATGTGTGTGGAGTTTTGTTGGGGTTTATTTTGGTGTTTTTTGGTGAGGTTTTTTTAGTCAGAAGAAGACACTATGTATCTTTAAAAAGAAAATAAAAGGTTTCTACAGAGACTAAGAATATGAATTGCTCTATTTTTCCTCTAGGAATAGATCAATAATTTATAAGTTGCAACAAGGATGTTTTAGATAAGATGTAAGGAAAGATTTCTAGCAGTAAGAGTGGTGAAGCACTGAAATAATTTGAGTAGGCTGTAGAGTCCCCATAGTCCCCCCCACTGGATTTCATTTATGAGACTTCTTCAGTCAGTAATGCATGGAGTGTCATGCCTTGGTTTCATGTTTCTCTGTTTGTTGTAATAGCTGGAAGAGGAGATTGCTCTGAGAGAGAAAAAAAGGCAGGAGAGGGAGAAGGCAAGGCTTGAATGGATAAAGCAGCAACAGGAGATGGGAGAGGAGATAGAAGAAGAACCTGAAGAGGAACCTGAAGAAGAGCCATTGCCACCTCTGTACATACCAGAGGAGCCCAGTCCCATCCTCTGTGGGTTTTATTCAGCACCAGGAAAATTTTGGCTTTCCTTGGTAAATCAATTTTTATTTCATGTTGATGGGATTGCAAGATGTGGCCACCTTCCCTTCACATCTGGGTGCCTTAGAAAACTGATTATTTTAAACAATTTGCTTCTCTAGGACATGGAATCCCTTTCATACTTGGCAGTTTCAGTGGTCTTTGTGAAGTAAATCAGTAGTGGCACTCCAGATTATTCAATAAATATAAATTTCCAATCGGTGCACTTCTTGGTGATGCCTGAATGGGCAGAAAGGCTGAACTGTTCCCTCACAAGCAGAAGATAGAATCTTAACATATTGGTAGGATGGCTTGTAATGCCAGTGATAACAATAGATTTTTCTCTGTGGATAAATGGGATCTCTAGATGTTTGAAAGTAGCATTTCCTAACCTATAGTAGATCCTTAAGAAAGTAAGAATTATTCTGAAAATTGCATTTACCTGGTAAGCTTCTTCAGTGTTCTTTTTTACCATTTCTTTATGGTTCTCCTCTTTAGGGTGGGTATGACTCAGGGTTCCTCTATCATTGTGAATTCTCCTCAAATGATCACCAAGAAGACCCTGAAAACAGGCAAGATGAACCCTTTGAAGTGATTCCTATTGAGGACTCTGATGACAATCCCATTCGCCGAATCTCATTCTGGTAAAAAATTATTGTTTAACCGTTAACTTCATGATAAAGCTGGATGAAATTGAACTTGAAAGAGAGGAAGGGACACTGTGTTGTCCTGTTTTAATTGTGGGTCAATTATAGTATGCAGGAGCTCTCTCTGGTTTTCCTGACACTGAGTTTCTCTTACAATTCCTGATGGAACCAGTTGGGCACTGTGTCTGACAGTATAATTTTATAAGCCCCTCAAAGATGAAAATGTCTGATTTCTAACTAAGTACTGTTTAGCACTCAAACATCCTAGACTGTAAATCTCCGGGAGACCTATTAGAAGTCTCTGCAAGTTGTGATCATCTGAACAGCAGTTCTTTTTGGTAGTTAGCAAAGAGAGAGCACAGCCCTTGAGGAGGACATGGAGGCTTCACTCTTGTGCAAAGAATACAGGCTTCTCAGGACATTCTGGGAACTGTACAAGTGAAAAGGGTAAATTATTTTCACACTCACAATATTAGGTTCCATCTAAGGCTAGGCATGATCTACATCTAAAGAAGCAGCTTCAGTTCAGGCTTCAATCTACAGCTGGCTGCATTCACTGCTATCCATAGTAGATTGAGAGCGGGGGGGGAAAACTGGTTTTCTAGCTCTGAATTTGGTGTCTGTTGCCCTGCACAACTCAGGACTAAGACCAGTTTCGTGATACCCAGAAAGTACTGGAACATTCCTCAGCAGCCAGTTCTACTAAAGAAGCATCACATTTCGAGCTGTGGCCGTTACTTGTTACAAGGTCACCTGTTCTTATTGTTTCTTGTTGCTTATTTGACAGTACCAACAGACTGCTGATGTTCTGTGGGATGCAGAATGGTGCACTGCGCATTTATCCTCTCCAAAATGAAGAACTCTCAGTGGATACCTTGAAGGAATACTGGTCCTTAAACGTACATGACAATGATTACGGCCAGATCCAGGGGATCTGTTCTAGTTATGATGATAGGTTTCTGATTACCTGTGGTGGAGATGGAAACATTTTTACTTTCAACATCTTGTCTCCAGAGGATGTTCACGAAGAGTTAAAAGCCGAAATCCCCTCTCCTAGGGTAAGTTGCTGCCCTTGTTCACTGAATTAGGCCTATTTATAATGAAACTACTGCAGGTGGGTAAAATCCAGTTCAGTTACGTGGCATCATAGATCTTTCATACCAAAAGCTGAGGTTTCCCAATTTGGAAGAAAATCTCTTGTGGAACATTCTCTAATAAACAGGCACTATGACTGCATTGTTCCTCCTGAATGTTTTATGTTTTTCTCCAAATAAGCATAGTATGTGCTGTTCACGGGTAATATTCTGCCAGTCTTTCCTCTCCCCTCCTGCCCTCAGCCACCCTCCTGCTGACTTGTCCCTCCAGCCATCCCCCTCCTCTGTCTGCATTCCTCTCCTTCTGCCCTGTTTGCTTCTGACCACAGCATCCAACAAATGGTGCCTTTCTGTGTCCAGGCTGGGGCAGTCACCTACAGCTCTCCACAGGGTGCTGGTCCCCAGCCATTTCTCTCCTGCTGTATTTGAGGTGGCTTCTAATAACCCCCTTGAGCACTGGAGCAGTCCCTACTCAAAGGTGTAATCATGCACATTCCTAGAATGAAAGAACCACAAAGCTTTGTCATAATTAATACCTTACCTGGATTTAATTCCGGTGAAGTATGGTTCTGCTCTGGACAGGGATTCCAGAAACAATGTTGGGGAATAGTGAATGTGTAGTTTCTCATTACATCTAGTTTTCTTCAAATATAATTCACAAGTTGGTTTTTCAAAATTTGCTAAACAGCATAGCATGATGCTGATCCTGTTGCTTTTTCACTCTTGGACAACACTAGCAGTAATAATTTTACAGGTGTCTTGTAATCACAGTACAGCTCATCACCTGTAGCATGTTTGAACAGAGAACACAGGAACTGGATGTGAGTTCTACTGATAAAACACAACTCCCTCAATAAAAATGTTCAGACTTCATTGATTTGTTAAAAATTGCACACATTTTAAAACCCTTTTGACTGCCTGAAGAAAACAAATATAACTTGAAAGGAGCAGTGAGACCTGTTGAGTGAAGAAGTGCACGCACTATGAATTTTGGAGTAGATATGCATTCAGTACAGTTTAAAAATCTTGAAAGTAAAACATATTCACCTTTTAAGTATTTTTAATGTTAGTTGATAAGTACATTTTGAATGAAACTAGACTGACAAGGGAAACAGAGAGGAAATTGTGATTTTGGTCCTTTGAGTAAAGTGTTCATGACTATTTGGTATTTACCAGTATCACAAGAATTTATAACACTAACAATAGACTTAAAATTGTTTTCTTTAACTAAATAAAGGATCGGAACCTGTAATCGGAGCCTTGCTAGCTCCAGTATTACAAGTAGTGATTAATATACAATTATAAAGCATATATGTACACTTCTATAATTCTGAGTATGTAAGTAGGTCTGTATAAAGATCTTTATGGTAATTTCTATTGTTCAGACTAGCAACTTTGCATAATGATCATCCTAATAGAGTTTTTCCCCTATCAAAGTATATCTTCGTTACGTATCTATTCTAGTTTTAAGTCATGTGGAAGATTAAAAAAATTCCATCTTCATTAAACTTAATGGGATTCTTAGAGAACCAAATACAAATCCTCTGAAACTAATTAAGTTAAATTACAGATCAATTTAGTACAGCTGTATTCACTGTAAGGTGATAGGCCTTTCTCTTTTTTTAGTGCATGACTGCCTAGGGAAATGAGGCTTGTGTGACTACAGTGTCCATTCATCTGTCATTCTTCACAGCTAATAATTGTGAATCCATTATGCAGTCAGCAGAAGCAAACCAGATTAATTACACATGTAACTTGGAATTAGCCAAGGATATGTTGTCTCTTGTCAATCTGCCAGCGAGGGGAGAAGAGAATTGGGTGTGGGGTGTAGAGAACCAAAGATGTTATGGGACAGAGTAAAGTGAGGACAAGCAATGGTGTAATGGTTAATGTTGATGGGGGGATGTAGGATTTATTTTCTCTGTCCCTAAGAACTATGCTTCATTAGTTCTTTTACATGTAAGACAGCTTAATCACTTTTCTTTTTTGAGATATTAAAACCTGTTTTTTGAGGCCTGTATAGCGATATTGATCATGAAAGTTTCTTTTGGTTTTGTGAGAGGTAATAGGATCTCTGCTGTAATGTTTATAACAGCTTTATTGTCTGTTGAAAGTGTTAATGCTTGTTTAAAGGCAAGACAACATTTTTATTTCAGAGTGGTCTTGAGGAGGAGGAGGCTGCTGAAGATATTAAGGATCCCAATGCCTACAAGTAAGAGATGCTTAGTTAATGATGAAAGAGTTTTTCAAGTGTTAGTAACTCTTTCTTCAGACCATGTACTTCTTTTTGCCTCCTAAGAGGCAAAATAATTCGTGCTGAATTTGGGTCATTTTCTTGTTACACACAGAGTTGTGTTCAGCCTTTCCCCCAATATAATCTGCTTTTCTGTGGTAGTAGTTCAAATATGTTATTCTGAGACTTACTTAACTTCAGACTACAGAGACAATACAAGGTCAAAGTCAAAGCCCTATGATGTTAGGACTACAAATATACAGGGAGGTGATTCCTTTCTAATTTACCATCAGAGCCATTGCGTTTACTGGGAGTTTAAAGCTGTAAAGGAAATCTAAAAGGTTACATAAACTGTAACCTTTCCTCTCTTCCATTGAGGTTACACCATTTGCTTTTTCGTGTGTTTTCAGCATTGAGGAAGTCAAGCAGAAAAAGGAGCATGAACGGATAATGAAGGAAGCTGAAGAAAAAAAAGAAAAGAAAAGAGAGGAGTTAAGTGCTCTGAGGCAAGAGTTTCTTTTTCTTCTTCAAAAGAATCAGGAGTTGCCCAAGCACATGCAGCTGCACAGACAGGTATATCTAGTTTTCCTAAGGTCATTTACCTTAAGAGGCACCTTTTCCTAAAATGTTGCTACCTGATGTGTTTGGGTCAAAGATGTCCAACTCTTTGGGTTAAGGTAGTTCTATGAATATCTATTTTTCTGGGAGTTCTGAATCACAGCTGATTTGTGCCAATAATAAGCAAATAAGAAAAATGTGGTTCTCTGTGGGGATCTGAATAGCTCCTGAAATAAAGGTTTGTGTTTCTGCATGGAATTCTGGCACCTGGAAAAAAATATCTAATACCACAACCTAGTAGTAAAGATAATGTGATGCTGAGTTTTCTGGTTTTCTGCAGGAGTTTGAGATGGACCACAGGATCTTTGAGGAGCTGAGTAGGCAGACAGCACATAGAATCCAGTTACTTCAAAAAGACCTGGCTTGGGAGCAGGAGAAACACTTGATTGGACTGCAGAAACTACAAAAGCTGTAAGTACCACTTGTACTTCTCCCTCTGACCTTGCATGGGGCTTATCATTTACAAATTTGTACCAGCCACAAGGAAAAATAATGTGGTTTTGTTGTTGTTTTTTTTCCCCTCATATAATAAATGTATCTTCTGTTATGATTCTGTTTTTATTTTACTTGGAACATACACAAACGTACATACTGATATCTGGGTGTACTACTACTTTTGAATCTTTGGTAAAATTCATATATGCAAATTAAGGAAGTAGTTTCATTCTAATTCACTCTTATATGAAGAAAAGTGTGGTTGAGGGGTGGCGGGGGGGGGTTGAGACTAACTTTGCCTGGGTTTTGGCCAGAAAGTTCAGTAAGAACCTCTTAGTGGAACAACCTATGAAACAAACCCCTGTTTTTCAGGCATGTTGCTTGGCTGCCAGGTATTTTGGTGTCGTTGCTAACACAATGCTCCATATACAGTTTAAAGTTATGAAGTTAACTCTCTCAAACACAAGTTTAAGCACAAGGTGTATTTTGGGTTGGTTGTTTTAAATCAAAGTATATAGCTAAAGATTAATTCCTAAAATAAATACACAGTAGCTATAATATATAATAGCAAAATCACCTTAGGCACGCAGTGTGTGACTGGGAAAAAGATTTTAATTAACATGTTTTTTATCAGTCCTTAATGGTAGATGAAAGATATTTTCATGAAGAATCTGGTGTAAGTTCTGATATTGAGAGAGGCTTAATTATGCTTATTCTTGAGTATCTCCATTCCTAGATTGGATAAAAGTCAGTAGTTTCAGATGTCATCATGCTGTTACTTACTGACTTGTGAATTTACATGTCTATTAAGTAAAATACATTATTTGTATACTTTTGGTCAAGAAAAAATGGTAGGTTTCTCCTATTGACATCAGACAGTTTTGTCTAAATTTGGCTTTTCAGGTTTCGGGACTCGCTGGAATTTGACACTGTTGTTGTTCGTGCTATTCAAAGCAATCATCAAATTTCCACCTACAGACTTTTATCAATGTCTGAAAAATGCTATCAGGAACGTTCATCATGGCAGAAAGTAGTACATAAAGGGGCATGGAAAAAAGCAGAAGAAATGGACGTCGTCAGAAGGACAAGTTTTCGTAAACGTATGGCCAATGATGACCATTTAAATCTTACTTACAGTTTCTGTCTTTCATCTTAGTTTGTTTTCCTGAGTCCAAGCTAAAGAAATTATAGTTTCTTTAGGTACAGATACAGAAATATAACTCTGGTATGTTTTTTTAGTACCTGTTTGCATAGCAACACACATACATGGTTTTCCATGTTTGGGTCAATGTTACCAATTGTCTGTCAACCTTGTGGGTAGAACATGACTAAGAGTCAAGTCAAAGAACCCAAATACATTGAAAACATCCACTGCAGTGGAACTATACTGATAGACACTGGCTCTACAGGAGTCATCCCAAATGGTTTCTGGTAGTTGGGGCTGCACTGTGCTGGATGATATTTACATCTTCACATGGTTATTTTTTGGTCCAGGTGTTTCAGTTTTTGAGGATGAGGCTGAAAAGCTGAAGACATCAGAGGTTCAAAAGCCAACCACACATTATATAGCAAGAAAATATGAGCAAATCAGAAGAATTGTTGAGAAATCTGAGGAAAGGAAAGCTAAGATCTTGAAGAGGGAGGCAGAGTGGGAGCAACTGTGAGTCTTGGACTCTGTCCTTTTAGCTCTTCTTGTCTGAGGTCTACTAATGGTACTTAACTGTCATATGGTACTATAATGTCTCTGCCTGGTTTTATATATTCCTAATGGTTGAAGTTAAAATAATTGCTTTTTCATTTATCTCTGAATCTCAAGAGAGCTTTAGAATCTTTCAGTTAGTTTCTATGGATCTTCTAAAATATGAAAAAAAATGAATTAATCTAAGTAGCTGCATCTTCAGATAGGGAGAAAAAAGTGTTTACCTCAATTATGACGGACTAACACGTAAACCATTACAGTCAACTCTCAGTTACGCCTACCAGCACCACATAGAGCAGATGCTGTTACAGCTGGGCTAGGTCAGTTGTACTAATACCTCTGCAATTATAAGAGTGTTTGTGATATGCCTTCACGCTCTGTGCTGATCTTTATTTTGAGAGGCAGTAAAGAGACATGACATCTTTGAGCGCTCAGAGAAGTACAGAAGTTCTTTGTTAGGAGATGAATGACAGGGAATGGGACCAATGTAGAGTCAGAGTACGTGGCTTTTTAAAGTCATTAATTGTTCAACAGTTGTGGGGATCAATGACAGCGTCGGCTTGTGACAACAATCATAGAATCATAGAACTGTTCAGGTTGGAAGAGACCTTTGGGATCACAGAGTCCAACCATCATCCCTACTCCACAAACTTCTCCCCTAAACCACATCCACCAGCACCACATCCAAATGACCCTTAAACACACTCGGGGATGGTGACTCGACCACCTCCCTGGGCAGCCCATTCCAGTGTATAACCACTTTCTGTGAAAACTTTTTTCCTAATTTCCAGTCTAAATGTTCCCTGTTGCAGCTTGAAGCCATTCCCTTTTGTTCTGTCATGAAGCTTAAGGGCAGCCTTGGTTGCAGTGGCCATGAAATGGTGGAATTCAGGATCTGTAGGGCAACAAGGAGGATCCACAGCAAGTTTGCTACCCTGGACTTCAGGAGAACAGATTTCAGCCTCTTCAGGGATCTGCTTCATAAGGTATCATGGGATAAAATCCTGGATGGGAGAGGAACCCAAGAAAGCTGGACAATATTCAAGTATTATCTCCTCCAAGCCCAGGAGCAATGCATCCCAAGAAAGAGGAAGGCAGGCAAGAATCACACCTGGAGTATTGTGTCCAGTTTTGGGCACCTCAATTCAAGAGAGATATCGAGGTGCTGGAGTGAGTATAGAGGAGGACTGGTGAAGAGCTGGTGAAGGGCCTAGAGAATAAATCTTACGAAGAATGCTTGAAGGAGCTGGGAATGTTTAGTTAGAGAAAGAGGAGGCTGAGGGGAGACCTCATCAGTCTCTACAACTGCCTGAAAGGTCATTGTAGAGAGGTTGGTGCTGGTCTCTTCTCACAGGTAATTAGTGACAGAACAAAAGCGAATGGCTTCAAGCTGCAACAGGATAGGTTTAGATTGGACCTTAGGAAAAATTACTTCACAGAG